CTGACATACCTTATAAGTGAGTGACATAGAAAATTTAAGTTCAGTAGTTCTCGTTTAGTTTGTTAGTTTTAATATTATAATAGAGTTAAATTACCTATTATAAAACTTAAAGGTTATGACATTTTCTGTAGAGATTGTCAAAGGCGTTTTTCGGTGTTTAAACTTTGAAATGAATTATGAGTAGGTAGCATTTTTAAAATAGCTATATTTTACACTATCATAACTCGTTTTTAAATCAAAATATTGAAAAAACACTTCCGAAAAATCATGGTAAATATCGTTACCCTTAAGTTCAATAAATAAATTCTGCCTGCCCTCTAATATTAAAACTAACTAAGTTTAACGAGAGCTACGTAAATTTACTATGTTACGCACTTGTAAGACGTGGACAACGAATGCGCGTGAGACGTCCGCTTAAACATAATTTATAATCAGGATATTAAACAGCTAGGGGTGGCGTATACATAGTGGGAATGTGGGACTGAGGGAGGACAATGATAACTAAAAGCCGAAGTTTATATTAATGTATTTTTGATGATTTTTTTCAACTTTTTATTCTATGATAAAACTCAAGAATGGCTGGAATGTCGATAATAATATAATATATTACGATTTACGACTACGTAATGTAAATATGTAATACATATATTACTATATATTATTATAGACTATACTAGGCGTACTGTAGTATCATATTATATTAGTGTGTAACATGCATTATACTCATGCATTGGATACCTTTGATTTATTTTAACAGCGTAGTTATTCTAGAAACCTTCAAAAATATTGTAATCTAAAACTTCTATTGCGGTTATTTCGATCTCTTAAATCGCTTAAAGGCCATATTGGTCCACTCAAAACAATAATATTATAATACATAACATTACGAAAACACATTGTAATATCGATTTATATTATTTCGGAATTTCTTATAATATATTACATAGGTATACTATACATACGTTATATTTTATAGTATACATAACATATAGGTACCTACTTATACTTTACTCGATATCATATTGTTATTATGTTATTGGGTAAAATAATATCATACTTTATTAGCCGTAACCGTCTAAGATATAGACTAGAAATAGGCGTGGAGGATCAGAGATGCGTATTTACATTTTCGGGCGCCCTGGAGCTCCAAGTATTTGATGTCATCCTCCCCCGTCCGCGCCGATACCAACGAGATGAATAAATAACAATCAGTGTCCTGTGAATTTATCGCCCGGAGCAGCCCGCATCACCATTGCCCACTATTTGAAATAAGCCTCCGGTCTGTATGCAAGTAGAAAATATATATTATTATGCGAGTAAAAATAAAATGACTCCTTCGCTGTGTATATGTATATACTCGGTTCCACCCATTTCGACGCTATAAATCTTGAACGGGCTTCACAGTATTAATAAACGGCTGTTTACTCTAAATGTCTTGTGCTTACTTTATTATTGTATAATACAATATAATATATAATAGCTGAAAGAAAAATATATATATTATTTTTAATTTTAAACAAACAAAAGAATTAAAAACGACGCTATTCAGCAAAAAAAAAAGACAACAGTATTTCAATAGTATAATATTTATGGCTTGATTTTTCTCAAACCACTCAAATAAAAACAGATACAAATGACTATGTATAAACACAAACACAATAGAAACAGTGGTGGATCTACGCGAGGCATATTTCCCCTCCTCAAGTGTACTAAAAAATATATGTCACGATCGTCGAGGAAATAAGATTTTGATTTATAAACAACATTTTAAATGTTTAATATTAATGTGTTAGCGTTTAATATGTTATATTATAGGTACCTAATATTATGTGTAGATAAATATTTTTTTTATCCATGAGCCTACCTACGAGAAAATCTTTAACCCACTACTGAATAGGAATAACGATAGGTATTCAAAACTAAATTGCGTCATGACCTGTGGTAAAGTATATAATATTAATTTCATAAACTTAATATACATTATACATAATATTATATTACGATGCAGTGGAGGTTTGATACAATTATACTGCACATGTGGAGTGCCTATAAAGCCTGAATAGTCGTGCAATTTATTGTATATAAATATCAGTGTACTATATCGGAGTGCTGCGCTGCAGACGGAAGTGCACTAAAAACGACGTACACGGCGCGCTAAGGGTTATTGCGACGTTTGTCGAACAGACATTAATGACGATTTGTTTCCCCCATATTATATACACACGCGGATGTCGCTTAATACGGAGGTCCCGAACACCATACATTGTATACATAAACATATATTATATAATATATATATACTTAACAGTTACGTTTTATGACCTCTTTTCCTCCTATTCCTAATAATAAATTGATACGACATCGATTTTCGGGCTGCGCACGCCGATATATGTGTATTACAGCGTGTATTCTATATTCCTCGGACTCAATCTTTTTATTATTGCTCTGCAGGTATAATATATAATATTATGTGATGAAACGGCAAGGACGCAAAGGATTGGAGGTGAGACATCCTCGTCGACGTCGTTAAAACTTAAAAAAAAACATTGGACCCGGGTAAAAAATGGCAGCTATATATAAACCTAAATAATTCGCACACACCCATTTAACGCGCACACCGACAAAATATAAATTGACAGCGCAAATTGAAACGCGTGGAAACGACAAGGAACTTTTAGAACCTATTTTTTTCTGTATATTTTAACATTGTATTCTGTTGCCCTATAACGTAGGTAGTGATGACGGGATTCTTACTTTTTTTTTTAAATATCGATACATATTAAGATGAATTGAGACATATTGAGTATAAACGATATAATTTTTTAATGAGAACCAATTCGTCGTCACCAAGTCACCTAACAATTTTATAATGATAATGTATTGGTGGGCTCGATAAACATGTACGACTCAATCGTGTATGTGTGTGCCATAAGACGGTGCTTAAGAGTGTCTGCTGGGAGGGTGTTAAGTGCTCGCACAGTCAAACAGCCCCGAGTCAAGGGTGTGCGATGGTGGTGGCCGGTCGGATGTGTATAATACTGCATGGGTCACGGGATATGCATATACAATCGTTGTCATCACATAATATAACGATTTACGTCCAGTAAAACGCATATATACTTACACGTTCAACCAGAAACCTGATAAAAAAAAATGGTATTCACGCCACAAGTTTATACGTCGTACGTTATTATGCATAGGTATAGTATTATAATAGCTGCTGTAATATAAAGTCAGTCTACCATCGGTGATATAAATATTATCCACTATTATATTATTATAATAATTCGTTCAGGCGTAGTTAAGGTTAAAAAAATGTTGATTTATAGGTTATGGAGCCATGGATTTGTTCATATTTGCCAATATGAGGAGGGGGGTTGTCCAATAATATTTTTTTCATATAGATATTATTATTCCTATGTACACTGGTGGATCCAGGGCTACGCATGAATGTAACCGTTTGTTAAAGACAAACAACATGCGCAGTAGGTATTTATATAATTTATTATACTATGCACTCAATTTCTTGCTTTGCTTCAATTTCATTAGGTACATAATATTATGCTCTTAGTTATATTATAATATACTTTTACAATACCCTTGTATAGCTGTTATTTATCTATTTTTTGGGTCGGTCACAGGACTTATATTTATTTACCTACAATAATATTGTCTTCATAATACATTTTAACAAAAAAATCGGAATATTTAGGAAAAATATTTTTTTTAACCTACGGTAAAATTGAATTACATTTTAATTTTTATCCTAATAAGTACGCATGTATTATGAAAATGTCAGTCATTAAGTGTATGGATTCGTAAAAAGTCTAATATTTTTTGCAATACCAGCATCAGTTGAAATCTATTATTTTATTTTTGTGGTTTAAAAACTTTAACTTGACTTCTTAAAAATACTGACCAACTGCAGTCAATATAAAAAACGACGTTTTGGCCGAAGCATTTTATAGTTTATACAGAAACGTTTCTGCTGAAAACGAATTAAGACGTCCAAAAAAAACCCGGTTGCAGCTATATATATGTATAGGTACTATATAGGTGTAGAAGTAACAATATATTAATTCACAAACGAATAGTTTAATAGTAACATTATACAGGGCGATTCACGGAGTATGTTCATCTCCATTTTATTTTTTAATAATGAATTTATTCAAATACTGATTTTTTGAATTTTTAAATATAATATTATCTATAATTAAGGACCATATTAAAAAAAACAGCTATTTTATGCTTATTTAGGAATGTTCTGCAGTGGTGATACCAAATTAATTTTTTCCAAATCAGAATTGCCCTTTTCCATGAAAATTAATTAACAGACTTGAACATTTTGAAGTATCAAAATGGAAATTTCGGTTTTGAGTTATTTAACTTTTGTGTATACTAATTCCATGGTAACAGGTTTAGAAGGCGTTTATAGTAATTGCTAATTAATAATAGCTACCTAATCCATTAGTATTTATTTATTAGGCATTTGTAAAAGGTAAAAATTGTCTGAGTACAACAATTATTACATTTGAATATTTAACATGACAAGATATGTAAAATCATTTTTAAGGATAAGTATTATCCTTAATGTATTATAGTCTATAGAACTTACATTTTAATAGAAATTGTTCGTTAGAATTTTGTTTTAGATACATGCACATTGAAAAAGAAATCATGTGCTTAATAATATTTATAGGAAAAACGATTGGTTCTCAATTAAGTTGTTATCGCCACAACCACCCACAAGACACTCTTTAAATGGTAAATAAAAAATGCATGTATTTGAAATAAGGTATAAGTACAAGTGCAAATAAAGTACAAGTAATAATAATGATCTGAGTAAATTCATATTAAATGAAAAATGTCGGTGAACATACTTGGTAAATCATCCTGTATAATATAGGATATACAATCATTCGAATGATCATTATTCGTAATAATAATAATTTAATAGTTATACATGTTACAATAATAATTTAACAGCTATAATAATATACCGTCTTGACGCACTCCAAGTTGTAGGCGCATGGCCGGTCCGCAGCGTTGCACGTGGCCGCTTCGCCCAAGCCGCACACGCCGTACGGACAACAGGCGCACGCGTCCGGCACCAGACCCAGCGGACAAGCGTCGTCCCGGTCACGGATGGGACACCGGACCCCGGCACATCCGTCGCCCGGACATTGCGAATCGGCGGCGACCGGAACTCCTCTAACGTCGTCACCGCCACATCCGGTGGCGGCTAACGCCGTGGCCAGGGCGAACGCGCTGTAAAAACGGCACAACGAGCGCGACACTCGATGGCGACGACCGTCCATTATTATAATATTATAAATAATATAATATAACATTAATGTACTAAACGGAATTCCGGCAGCGACGCGAGACTGTTCCGGCACTCGTGATGAGGCCCGCGGAGCTCCGAGACCGTTTCTCCCACCCCGTCGAGCCCTCCCCCTCTCCAAAATTCCTCCAGTGAACGCGCCATCACGATGATAATATTCTCTGTTCATCGTCGTACGTGGGTTTCCCACGGGAATTAACGTGCTTGTTCGAAGAGGACGCAGCCACACCGGTATTTACTATTTTGACGTTTCCACGTCTCCTCGTTGTGGTAAATATTTGAGTTCAGCCATCTACGATATACCAAGTAGTGCCGTATTTAGAAATTTGTCACCCGCAGGGAAAACAGCGAAAAAACTACCAACACATAAAATAAAAACATTTTTATTATAAAATTAACACACCTACCTATATAATGTTTAAAAATAACGGTTAAAAAATTAAAATTTTCTTCCCGGATTGGGTCTCTCACTATTTAGGTATTACTCTCATTACTTATCAGTTATAACTATTTTATCATAATACATTTATGACGGACATTAAATATGGCTGTCGGCTAAACATCAAACGTAAACACGAAGAATAGGAATACACACAAAAGAGTTTGTTTAATTTTCATCGAATTCTAAGCTTCAGACGCAATAATTATTCTACTATTCTGGTCAGAATAGAAACCGTTCGTATTCGTCGTGTTTACGTAGGATATGGCTTAAGGCATTTACTCTAATGATAATGAAAATAGTATAGGTTGTGGCAAAGAATTACGAAATATAGTATATACTGGGTGGGGCAGTGACCTAGGCGATTTTCGTGAATAGGATGATCTCTCATTTCACTACCCCACCCTGTACTTAATTTTAAATGTATGAAGAAAGTGAATGGAGTTATGATAGTATTAAAACAATTAAAATGTGTAAGTATACTTATTGTAAACTCATTTATACTGGTTGTATAGTTTCAAATAAATTTTAAAAGTTTCTTTAGTTTTAATATCGGAGCGATAAAAATATAGGTAGTACCTACATTAACATTTATATCTGCTAAGAAATTTAAATTCAACAACATGTCAACATCATCCGTGATCTCTCATCATAGTACTTATCTATACTTTAGATACAAAGTGAGTTATAACTTATAACAATGCTCAGGGTCAAACATATAATTTGCCACTGCTGAAACTTCAGTAACATCAGAGCCCATTTTGAAATTGCAAAAAATTTTGATGAAGCACTAAGTCCAGATCAAGACAACATTAAAAAAATGGTTAAATAATTAGAACTAACTAAACGGTTCAATCTTTTGTAACACATATTTAATGTGTCATAATCGTACTTATAAACCATTGAACCTATTAATGTATAATGTCATGATCCAATAACCATTTTTGTTGCAACTTTAATCTAATAAAAAAAAAAAAAAAATGAAAAAAATTACAAATGATGTTGCTGTCTTCGCCTTTACAATTGATAATAATCAATAGGGAAATTCAGCACAATATTAAAACTAACGAAATTAAACGAGTACCTAACTATAAAGTATAGGTAACTACTATGCGAAGGTACGTATAAATTTACAAATTGTCATCAAATTCTGATCCCTCTACTTTGAGAGATACTATAATATTACAACATTTCCACCGGTGTTTGTATAGTCACCACTCACCATTATAGTGTTAACGTCACTGATCTCATAACGCAGATTCTTTGAAACTTAAGTATAATATAACTACAAATACCTAGGTGGGTATAAATGCGTGTTTAGTTATACTCACGTCTCGTTATATTTAACAAAAATGTATATTAACACCGACAGATTTCATGCGTGGGCTTATTTTTGCAATCACTTGTCGGGGGTGGTCGTATATATAATGGGACTTCAGTGAGTTTATGTCCTATAGATTAAAATACATATTATATACATAATAGGTAACGTTTCAAATGAAATCAGCTCATGAGCGTTGAAAGTAGCGTGTCTTGATAAAATAGGGGAAAAAATGAATCTCGTTAAGTCACTATAGTTACTACTATGAATATAATTTATCATAATATAAGAGAAAAAACGTTAAATTGAAACCCTTAAGTTATTAATTTTTGTGACACTTGTACCTACGTACTCGTTTATGATATTATTTTATATAGTTATTACTGGCCAGTTTTGATACTGCGGCAAACTCAGTGGGCACGAGGAGGCTTTCGGATATCTGCAAGCAGACATTAATAATATTAATAAACGTAGGTGGTCGCCACGACAAACACTATAATATAGTACAATACGTATATAATATACACTATATAATCACGATTTACGCCATATTCAACTGCTGCAGTTCTGCGCCGGTGGAGGGTGAAGTGGGCGAGAACGGAGATTAGCACAAAGGCACACGAAGTGTCCGGAGGAAAACCACGAGAAGACCGAAGAGATGACCGCGACAATCGATCCTCAGCTGCAGGTAATATATATATATATATATATATGACCGTCGCATTAAACAGCCGTACAGTACTCTATTTCACTCTGTACTCTGTTGTGTATGTATTATGTATATATGACGTCCTGAGGGGATGGTATTTTCGTACAGCGTTTCGAATGACAGGAGCCGACGTAATAGTAATTGGATTCTTCGAGAGGGGGGTCGAATTTACTACTATATTTTCTTTTATGTATAGGAAAAAGTAAATGTAATATATATATTTATAATGTCGGGTTATACTATGTATTGAACTTAAACGCGGGCGTATATTATATGCAATACAAATAATATAATATTTACCTCTATATATTATACACTTTATTGAATGAACAAAACGGTATTGCGTTAAACTATAATATCATAATATTATAGTCGTATAATACCTATCTATATATTAATATCAGTAATAAAAATAAGAAAGAGTTCAAGGAAGTGGTACTTATATAGTCTACCGTCTCTACAGGCTTACTGACTTACACCCCCATCCCCACCACAGAATTGACTTGAACAATATGATAGCTGCAGTATACTGCGTGCATATAAGTGCATTAAGAGGTGCAGATGTGAAATATAGGCGTATATAGCACATTAAAGTGCAACTGCTATATTATGACCTGAGTTTATTAATGAACAAACAAATAATTAATGAATAGTATTTAAATGATACAGGAAAATTGATAAGTTATATTATTTTATCGTATACGTGGAGGGTCGAAACGATAAAAGGTTTAGGTATACATTTATACACATGTAGCCATGTACCTAGGCATCGCATGTACCTATAGGCATCGCCTGAAAACGTAAATGTGCGTTCTGTTGAGATATCTTCACGGCAAGACGCGTAAGTGGCGTAACATCGACTTTTTTTCCACCATACCCATAATACCGGAATGGCCCTTAACATTTTTTCTGTGTGGAAACTTACTATAACGAGTTATTAAGATTAAATTATATAAATCTGTTTTAGTTTATTACATGGAGATTAAAAATATATATAAATTATATATATTTTATATATAAATATTATATAATTTTAATCTCCATAGGCGCAAGGTTTTAAAAATGTAACGGGTGCCAATTAGGGCTGTCGCCTTTAAAGATGGCAGACCCGGCCCAATAAGCAAAAAAAAACTTTTAAATTATCTCCCTAGGTTTTCAACTAAATTTTCAATAAAAAATGAAAACTCTTAAAAAAGTTATGATTTTTCCATTCCTTTTGGGTGTAATTCGCTGTAAGTCACGATTTAATATAGTACTATCTTAAATCGTGCTGTAAGTACAACCCCAACACTATTAGCCAATACACCTAATATTTAGGAAATATGAGTTTATGAGGGTGAAAAGGTAGGTGATAAGCAGTGTTGTAAAAAATACTTTTTAAAAGTATTTAAGTAATTACTCAAATACTCTTAAAATAAAGTATTTAAAATACCACCCAAATACTATAAATAGTAAAGTATTTGAGTAATACTCAAATACTTTTCAGAAGTATTTAAAATAATCTTCAAATACAAAAAAAAAATTCTTTTTACTTTTTAGTTCTGAAATAATTTGTTATAATCAAAAATGTGTTTATTGCATTTTAAAAACATGATTCGTTCAATAATCAAAATTCTGATTAGTCATGTTAGTTGCACTACAACAATGAACTTTTCTCAACAGAGTTATTATATTAATTTAAAGCTATATTATGTATTTGGATATCTCATACCGTCATCGATAAACAATAATGATAATAATTGATAAAAACTTTCTTGATAAATAGGTAGCCACTAGACAGAAGGTACTAATAATTATTAACATTATTTTCGTATAGTTAAATAATTATAAACTATAAAATATAATAGCCATTAAGTAGAAGCTTTTTACATATATATTTTGTTAACTTAAGCTAATAGTGATACCGACTACAGATGTATCTTTTCGATCATCGTCGACAATAAGCTGTCTCCTAGAGAATAAAAAAAATTAAAGAAAAGTATTCAATAAAATAGTATTAAATAGTAAAAAAAAGTATTTAAAATACCATTCAAATACTTCAAAATAAAAAGTATTTAAAAAAGTATTCAATACCGAAAAAAGTATTTGAATACTTTTACTCAATTACTTTTACTCAAATACTATACAACACTGGTGATAAGAACACCCTAGTGCTAGAACTCTCCATATAAAAAAAATTATGCTCCAGGTCACGCATTCCCTATATATTACATTTATCATTTATGTTTGTATATATAATATAGTATTATACAAATTTCAATTTTACCAAAAACTATTACAATATAAAATAAATATATACTATACTATATACTATACTATTACTACATAATTAATGTTTGTTTAATAATTATAATGACGTACCTACAGTGGTCTTATTGATGAATGATCTTGCTATTTCTTCAATATCTACATCTTTATTTCGATAAATATGCAATATTGCGATATATTTAAGGTGGTTTTGGGTCATTATAGACCTTGAAAATATTTTTTATCTTCTAAGCGAAG